ATCCCAGGGTGCTGGGATCGAGCCCCACATCGGGCTCCCTGCTCGGCGGGAAGCCTGCTTCTCTCTCTCCCACTTACCCTGCTTGTGTTCTCTCTCTTGCTGCGTCTCTCTGTCAAATAAATAAAATCTTAAAAAAAAAAAAAGAAATTAGTAAGGAAACTTACCTTATTCCTCAAGGCAGCACTTGCGTGATGTGGAGGACTTGTCATTGGTTTTAAATCATTGTTGAGCCACAGGCTGTGAAGGGAGCCGGCCAGCACCAACTTCCTGACTGCTTTGCCTAAGAAACTCAAAAGATTTATGCCCCAGGTGGCCCGAAGAACTGGGACCCATGTGAGCCTTGTGGTGTGCCATGATCCTAACCTTTCCTGTACCCTAGGGCCCCACCAAGACTCCACAGTATGCCTACCTTCATCTTTGTGGGCTGATCGGAACGTCTTTGGTCCCCTGTCCTTTTCTTTTATTTATTTTTACCAGATGCTATCTAGTATTTATTTATATAAAATATAGTTCTTTATTTGTCTAAATTAAATTTATATATTATTTTATTCATTTAGGGAAAAAAACAAGCTGTTAGAATGTTTAATTTTTTTTTTTTTGGTCCTCTTTCTAAACAAATTAATCTCATTTGAGAAGGGAATAGCCTCTTTGACTTGTTTAGAATAGGCAGGCAGCATACCTTGTCATGTTCTTGTTTGGACCTACTCTGTTTTGACATTCCTAAATCCTTCAGCATTTCTTCTGCTTACATGTAGAATTTCTCTGTGGCCTGGAGTACTTGTGTGAGGAAAGAAGGAATCACTGGGACAGATTTATGTGGAATTGCTTTGTCCGGTTGCTGAATCAGCCTCCTGAGGTTTAAAATATACGGCTTTGAAAAAAATAAAATAAAATAAAATATACGGCTTTGTATTTATTAAGCTCTTAGCACATCTTCTGTCCTTGGGCCAACCACTGTAAACTCAAGGTCACACTATTTTATGGAAAATACTAGAGTCATAATTTTTCTTAAGGTGGCCATTGTTTGTTACATTTTGCTTCCTTCCTAAATACTTTAATAACATTAAAAAAAACCCCATATTTTGAAGTAGTTTTAAACTTAGAGATTTTAATAAAATTTAATGTAAAGGCAGGTACATTTTAAAAATAAAATTTGAAATGTAATGTCTCAATTTGTCACGAGTGTATCTATGAATTTAATTTGTAATCTTACCAACAGTTTTTAGGCTTTATACATTTAAGGTGATTTTTATGTTTCTAATCATTCATCTACCATAGTGATTATTTGTATTTTAAGTCCAGAATGTTTTTAACTAAGATTTTATTCTCTAGCTTCAATTAATACTATAAAAGATATAAGAAACAGTGGGAGTTAAATGAATGATGTAAGTTGTATAAATGTTTGCTTTTTTTTTTTTTAAGATTTTATTTATTGAGAGAGAGAATGAGATAGAGAGAGCATGAGGGGGGGAGGGTCAGAGGAAGAAGCAGACTCCCTGCCAAGCAGGGAGCCCGATGTGGGACTCGATCCCGGGACTCCAGGATGATGACCTGAGCCGAAGGCAGCTGCCCAACCAACTGAGCCACCCAGGCGCCCTATAAATGTTTGCTTTTGACTCAGTTTCCCATCACCTAGAAAGTAGTGTCAAAAATATTAAATATTTAAGTGAGTTAACACGCAGAAGTCAAGGTACAGTATGTTCCCGTTTAAGATGGTTCTATAATTTTTGTCAAATGATATTCCTGGAAATGTGTGTCAGTATAGTGTTTTCATTAGCATTCATTTTCCACAGAGCCAAGAACAAAACAGGATGTGTCTGTTGTGGGCTTATTTGGAGGAATGGCTTTGATGCAATTAAATATCAAACCTGAAATAGTTTTAAGAGACCCTTAGTGAAATAAAACCTGAATTGTTGTTAAGCCAATAAAGGCCCTTTTTAATGATGACAGGGAAAGAACTTTTAACAAAATAATTTTTGGAGCCAAAGGCCTCGAAAATCACATGCAGCCTGAAAGTTTATTCTTTGTTATTTTTGGTGAAACTTGCTTGGAAGGAGGAAGTAAGCTGCTTCCTGAAACTGAATGAGCTCTTAGAATTGATGCAGGCCACTCGAGACTAACACGGCAGCACGTGATTTATTATTTAGTATGATTGAATAGTTGAGAATGGGAATGTTTGTCTCTCCCTCGCCCAGTATAATGAATTAAGAGGCCCTTCAGTTATTTGCTAATGATAAGTGTATGATTGTGTTGAAAGTCAGCAGGAAATGAATCTAGATAATTTGTCTGGGGCAGTCCCTGGGAATGCTGAGCGGATGCTTGGTGCTGATGACAAACTCAGAAGGCTTTGGGAGAACACCTTCAGAAAGGTTCAGGATGAGCCTGGGAAGCTGCCTCTAGGGCTGAGTTTGGTGCTAAGAGGCTCTCTGGGTTACTAACATTATAAAAGACCATTCCAGATACCAGAGGAACTGAAGCTTGGAGTGGGAGGGACTTGGGTGTATTCACAGGGGTAGGTGAGGAAAAGCTGAGGCTGTTTCCTGACTAGTAATATGAATGGTCATTCGGTCGCACCATTTTTTGTCACGCCTGTGCACGTGACCATATGCATATACGTGTCTTCTGCTGGCCTTACTACTAAAACTTCTAGTTGTGCTTGCACTACCTTTGTCCCGAGCTGTGATCAGATGGCATGGGCCCTTCTTTTTGCTGCATTAGGGAGACTGAACTTCTGTACATGTTAATGCCTCTAAGATATTTTACTTTGGGCATTTATTTATCTTAATGTCCTTTTTGACTTTCTTTTTCTCTCTTGTCTCTCTTTAATCTCTTCTTGTATTTAGTCTTTCTTCCTTTTCTTTTCTGCCCCATTCTCTCCTCTTCTCTTTCTCTCTCTTCTTGACCATTTTCTTTCTTTCTCCCCCACTGACTATCCCTGTTACTTCTTCTTCTTTTTTAAAAGATTTTATTTTTAGGAAATCACTACACCCAACGTGGGGCTTGAACTCAAAACCCCAAGATCAAGAGTTGCATGCTCCACCAACTGCGCCAGCGAGGCGCAATGAAATTGTTCTTTTTTTTTTTTTTTTTTTAAGTAAGCTCTACCCAACGTGGGGCTTGAACTCACTACCTGAGATCAGGAGTCACATGCTCTACAGACTGAGCCAGCCAGCACTCTCCACCCCAATCCCTGCTACTTCTGTTTAAAAGCCAAGAAGATAATATCTGTTAAGCTTAACAGTACATGATCTGTCTCCAACAAGAGAAAGGAAAGTCCTAAGTGTGTTTTTCTCCAGCAAGTAAATATTTGTTGACTACCGACCATATGCTAGATTTAGGAGAGAAGATCATTTCCATACTAGAGGACTTTATAGTATTACATCAAATTAAATCCGTAGAACTCTTGACATTTTTGACTTTATGATATTTTGTGGATGTACATTTCTTTGCAAGCATATTTTTGCTATTGCTGGCATTCTTTCTCTGCTAAAATATGTTATTTCACAGACATCATTATAACCAAATTATTGGAAGTGCAAAGGAGAGAAAGAAAAATTAACTCACAGTCTTATCTGTAACAAATTAGACTTACTGTTTCTGTGTTTTCCTCTAGTATTTGTCAAAATATTTGTGTTATCTTTATGCAGTGGAAATTACAGGTAAATTTAATTTTGCATTCTTCTTTGTTATTTCATAAATGCTTTCTAAAATGTAATTTTATTTTTATTTTTTTAGAAAGGTATTTATTTATTATTTTTTTTAAGTTTTATTTTATTATGTTATGTTAATCACCATACATTACATCATTAGTTTTTGATGTAGTGT